CAGTGTACTTAACTGTGTTTGTCACATTTCAAGGTGCCACTGCGAGAGCTGCCAGCAAGACTTGTCTACTTCCTATGCTTAACCTTTTCCTTCAGCTCTTAATACATTTTCTTTTCGTTTTTGTGTTTTCTTTTGGGTTTGTTTTTGGCATGGACTGGAAAATTTATTGGCTTTTGAAAAGTTTTCTGTCATAAAATCATAATTTACAGCATTCGTTTTCCACGCTGAGTTTTGGATCAACTTGACAGTTGTTATGGCATCGGTGGGAGTTGGGCTGGCTTGGCTTGGCTTGGCTTGACTTGACGTTTTTCTGCAATATATTTAAAAGCTAGCTGTCTCTTCTGGCCTGTCGGCCGATGAAGCTTGCTATTAAATTTGGGTTTTTTTCTTTCTTTCTTTGGACTTTTTATTTTCGGATAGCTCGTCATCTCTTCGTCTGGGAGCAGTTTTGTGAGCTGGTTTACTTCAGTGGCTTTTCGCAATTTCTTATATAGAAAGCGGAGTTGGGCAACATTAAAGAGCAAATGCCATAAGCCAGACAGCCAGCTAGCCTCAGTCTCGGCTGAAGTTTCACATTGTCTGGCGTAATTTGATAAGCGAAAGTTTCTTGAACTCCGCACCGCACAGAGACACAGGCCAATCGCAAGGCTGTCAAATTATGACTAAAAATAGCTGTCAAAGCTATTTAGAAGGTGGGCCACATTCAAGCGGGCTAAAGAGCAGCCAAATACCAGTTACCAGTTACCAGTTACCAATTGACGTTTTGTATTTTGCTTTAATTACAATTGAATAGCTAATTCTATATTTGGGCTAAAATACATTTGGCATTGCTTTGACGCCCACTACGCCAAAGCGTTTGATTAATTTGACTGAGTGTTTCACATGCTCATTGATATCTGCAGTTTCTATGACTTGGCATTGAGATTCAAATGTCAATTTCAATGCTAGTTTCACAGCTCTCAAGTCACCGAAGATGTGTCAGTTGCTTTGGGGTTTTTTTTTTTTTTCTTTTCCTTCTTTCTGGTCTCTGACTTGACCTTGAACAAATTGTGATTCAATTTCAATGAACAAAAATCAATATCAATTACACACTTTCATAGCCAAAATTGGCTAATGCCGAAATTTGGGTCATTCTTGACTTTTGCTAATCCCAATTTAATTTTAGCACTTGCATAATTCCTCAAACATTTTTCTTAGCCAATTTTGCGTTGGTCCCAGCTGACCCAAAACATTAAAGCTAAATATAAAACAATTAATTTAAAATTTCAACGTCAAGTGTCGCAGACCCTAAGTCAAAAAATAAAAAAGAAATATATATATATGTATATATATATAAACAAGATATAGTATATACAGACTGACACTAAATTGGTCACTCAGAGTAATTGAGTTGCTTCTTTGGGTACCGACAAAAACACAAAAGTAGAAGAAGAAGAAGCAAACAAGTGAACAAAAAACAAAGCGGGCAAAGCCAGACTTAATGGCAATAAAACTGTCCAGAAATTTATGTGCGCAGTTTGTCAATTTCCAGGCGAGCTGTATTTTGACAAGCGCGAGAAAATCATTTCAATCAACTCCCCGAAGTAGCCAAGAAATAATAATAAAATAATAATAATATTGTGCATCGGTTTTCAAGTGCATTTCGTTTGCTTAATAAATGTCAATTGCGTTGTTTTCCGCTGCTTCTTCTTTGCTCAGTGAACAAAAAAAAAAAAAAAGAAAAAAACGAGAAAACGTGACATTTTGTTGTTGACTTTTGACACTTGCAATCAGCCGGATGGAAGATTTATATACAATTTTACCGTTGACTCCGCAAATCGCTTTTATGTAAATCAACTTTTTTCTCTCTACTCGAGCTGGCCTCATTGAGCCAAAGAGCAGCGCAAACCTTGCAGCAAATGCCAAATTTGTTGTTGTAATCGGGGGAGTGTTGCCATTTGAATTGTTTAGCTACTTGACAATTTTTTACCAGGCAGATGCTTTTTTTAGCGGTTCTTAACACCATGGCATATTCTCATTGGGCATGCCCCGCAGCATGTCAAAATGTAATGCCCCATCAAGAGACTGGGCCTATTGTTTCGATCTTTTGACTTATTAAAATGTTTTCTTTTGATTCTCTGACGCCTCAAGTGCCACAAAATGCCAAAAGTTGTATCACAAGCAAAGAGATACAAATTGAAATTCAAATTATTCACTCGTTTCTCTTTCTTCTCTATCGGACATGTACACACTTGTCGATCGCAATGGGAAGCTTCGAGAGATCACGTGTAAGGTTTATGGAAAAGGTCTTTCTGTCTATTGTTCCACTGCGATTCATTGATTTGTTTGGGATCAGCTCAAATATGCCAGGCATTTCTGACACATTGATGTTTCGGGGGTAAAAAAACACATCAAGGGGCCTTTGATCTTGCCGTGGATGGAAGTGCTATAAATTTATGGCAGCCCAGTGTGTGTTATTCTCACTTCAGACGTGTGCTGGGCATGCCATTTTAAGTATATTATGGCATACTTGCGAGCTGCCATAAATTTAGAGCAGATCTGAAAATTGTGTTCAACCAAAACATGTACTTTATAAAGACAGTTACATGCGCTTCAGGCAGATTTGTGTGTTGCTATAAATTTATATCAAGCTAATATATTAATACCATTCGAGCTGCAAGGCATTTCTAATCGCTCAACTTATTATGTCAATTTTATAGTTCAGTTCATCGTGCTCGTAATGCTTACGTAGCATGTTCAATTTTGTTGGAGCGGCACATAAACAAGCCCATTAATGGCTCGCTTCTTTGGAGCCCATTACATGCTTTCTATGCCCACAATAATATGCCGTAATTTGAACGCAACTGCATTTGTGCATGCAAGGCTCGAATTTCGGGCGAATCCACCCAGAAATTCGGGCCACATAACTCAACTTGGGCGCTTGTAGGCTCAATACTTGCCATAACTGACCCACGACAAGGGGAAATACCACTTAATCATACGGCACACCAGGCTAAAGCGCAGTCGAAGCCAACAACATCGTTTGTCACAATCATTTGGCGTGGCCCAGAAACGAACAAGAAGGTGCCCTCAAAAGAGAGCCGATCACTAAAATAGCCGAGAGTCGGCCGCGAGCAACATGCTATAAACATTTATATTTTTGTTACATTTAATTTGCGGCTGGCACGACACATAAGTAAAATTCATTTAGTTTTCATTATTACTATTCATATATATATATATATACATTTCTTTTATTCTTTCTTTTTTTTTTTTGCAAAAGCAGGCCAGAAATCGCATGCCACACTATTTGCCTAGGCTCAACAAAGCGTGGCAACAATAATTTTCGTATTGTGGGCATTAACCTGTTAACTAGCAAGCGCTAAGCTAACTAAGCGCACAGCTAACATAATTCGCCACGCCTCCCAGCCATCGAACGCCCTGCGCATACCCCAACAAATGTGACCTCATAAGCTATTGACCCAGTAACCCCAACCCCCCAAGTAATGACCTCTGGGCAAAATGTCAGCTAATCGCGTATAGATTTCAACAGCGACAACTGTCGACTACCGACTGCCGACTGCGGAGCGGAAGTACCCAGCGTTGTGCTTGAAAGAGCTTACACTGGGTAGAGGAGAATCGTTAGAGAGGGTGGGCGGGGAGACGGGCGCAACTGGCGTTTGGTCAAGCGGATATAAGTCATCCATGGTGGAGGTGTTTTGCCAGAGGAGAGACCAGACAAGTGTTAAGCTCTCGCTATTTTGTAGT